TTTTGATCTTAGTAGTGCCCGCAGCTATTAGCAATGGAGAAAAGACAAAGAGAATCAAGCCCAGAACCCGCACAGAAGCGAAGAAGAATGGAACAGAAGCTTCCATCCTTACCAGTACATGGCAAGAGGCCAATACTGAAAGCAGAACTGTCATGGACGGTCAAGAACAAAGTTGAAGACGCCCAAGGGACATTCCTCTTTGACACTGGTTGTACAGGAGCAATCCTCAACCAGAGTTTTGTCAGGGAGCATGGAGTTCCCTTAGTGCGGCGAGATCAACCTCTGACAATGTATGATGCTCAAGGAGATGTCATGATGGGCGGAGGAGAGTATTACACTCACCCAGTCCACATGAACATGGGAGATCATAAGGAGACACTCCGATGGGAAGTGGCTACTTTGGAAGAAGGAATATCAGGTTACCTGCCAATTGCATGGGCAAGGAAGCACAACCCGGATATCAATTGGGAACTCAATACCATAAGCTGGCGAAGTGACTACTGCAAGCAGAACTGTCTCCCAGCAGCGATCAAGTTTGAACTCATCTCTTCATACCAACTGATGGAAGAAGAAGATGTAGTGTATCAACTGGCCGCTTCAGTATGGCATGATGAGGATGGAGGAGATATCTCTGAAAGGATACCTCTCCGCTATAGGGAATGGGCCGACGTATTCAGTCAAGAGAAGATACAGGAGCTGCCTCCACACTCCCGAAATGATCTGAAGATCAACCTCTTGCCTGGTACCGCTCCCCCATTTGGCCCACTATACCCATGTTCCGCTCCAGAGCTGAAAGCCCTCCGAGAGTACCTGGACAAAGAGTTGTCTTTAGGAAAGATCTCTAGATCTAGCAGCCCAGCAGCGGCGCCCATATTGTTCATACCTAAGAAGGATGGGACATGGCGAATTTGTGTTGATTACAGAGGGTTGAACAAGGTCACTGTCAAGGACAAGTATCCGCTGCCTATCATGAGTGAGCTCAGGGATAGGTTGTTCAAAGCCAAGATCTTCACAAAGATAGACCTGAAGAATGGCTTCAACTTGATCAGGATAGCAGAAGGTCATGAGTGGAAAACCGCTTTCAGAACCCGCTATGGACTGTATCAGTACAATGTGATGCCATTCGGTCTATGCAACGCCCCTTCCGCCTTCCAGGCAATGATCAATGATGTGCTAAAGGAACTACTGGATGAAGGAGTGGTTGTCTATATCGACGACATCCTCATCTACTCAGAGACTGAGGAAGAGCATGAAAGGCTGGTTGAGAAGGTTCTACAGAAGCTCAGAGAAGCAAAACTGTGTGCCTCCATCAGCAAGACATCCTTCCATGTCCGAGAAGTAGAATATCTTGGCTACCACATCTCGGAAAGGGGAGTATCTATGTCAGAGGACAAGGTAGAGGCGGTTCAGGAATGGCCAGTACCCCGAAATATTAAGGGAGTGCAAGGTTTCCTGGGATTTGCAAACTTCTATCGCCGCTTTATTGAAGGCTTCAGTAAAGTTTGCAAACCATTGACCGACCTCTTGCAAAATGACAAGAAATGGTATTGGACCGCAGCCTGTGAACAAGCATTTGAGGAACTCAAGAGGCTATTCACAAGCGCTCCAATCCTTCTCCATTTTGACCCTAGCAGAAGAACTGTGGTCGAAACTGATGCCAGTGACTTTGCCAAAGGAGCGGTGCTCTCTCAGTATGGGGAAGATGGGAAACTACACCCGGTAGCTTTCTATTCTAAGAAGTTCTCCCCGGCTGAGATCAACTATGACATTCATGATAAGGAAATGGGAGCTATTGTAGCATCTTTCCGGGAATGGGAGCATATGCTCAAGAGTTGCGAGCAGGAGATCACGGTTTTCACAGACCACAAGAATTTAGAGTACTTCAACTCTACCAAGGTTCTCACTAGGCGGCAAGCTAGATGGTCTGAGGACCTAGCAGGCTACAATTTCAAAGTTGTCTACAGACCGGGAGAAAGGAATGGCAAACCTGATGTGCTATCAAGGCGTTGGGATCACCGCCCTGAAGAGGGGAGTGAAACCTTGCGGCCGGAGCCACAGATGTTTTTTAGGCCAGGACAATTGGTTTTGGATCCTGTTAAGCTAGCGGCTGTCAGGGTGAATCAATTGCAGAACACATTCTTAGAGCGCCTATGTATGGCAGCTAAAGAGGATGGAATCTGGCAGGAACTGCACCGCTCCCTGGTTGAAAGGAAACCAAACTTGGACCAGAACTTGTCTGTCAAGGACGGCCTCATCTTCTACAAGAATTGATGGTATATTCCCAAAGACAAGAAGCTCCAGATGAATATCCTGACCGATACCCATGACTCTAAAGTGGCGGGCCATTTCGGTCAGTTCAAGACATTAGAGCGGGTAAAAAACAACTTCTTTTGGCCCAACATGGATAAAGATGTTGAGGAATATGTCCGGAGCTGTGATAGCTGCCAGAGGAATAAGACCTCAAGACATAAGAAGTTTGGTATGCTCCAACCACTGGAGATACCTTATCGGCCATGGACTTCCATCTCTATGGACTTTATTGTGGGATTACCGGAATCCAATGGGTTTACAAAGATCTGGGTAATAGTGGACCGCTTCTCAAAGATGGCACATTACATCCCACTTCCTACACTCAACAAAACGGAAGATTTGGCTAAGTTGTTCTTGAAGGAAGTCTGGAGACTCCATGGGTTACCTGATGACATAGTCTTGGACAGAGATAGCAGGTTCATTTCTCATTTTTGGCAATCTCTCATGAGCCTCCTCAATGTGAAGCTGAAGATGTCCACTTCTTTCCATCCCCAAACGGACGGCCAAACAGAAAGAGTTAACCAGACCCTGGAGCATTACTTGCGGAGTTATTGTTCATATCAACAGGATGACTGGGCAGACCTCTTGCCTTTGGCAGAGTATGCATATAACTCGGCGGTTTCTGAGTCTACCAAAGTATCGGCTTTCTATGCCAACTATGGATATGAACCCAGAACCAACTGGCCGGCCCCAAAGGAAGGTGTTGAATGGAACAATCCAGCAAGCGAGGTCATGGTATCTCAATGGGAATCTATCTGGCAGGCTATGAATGTAAGCTTGGGAAGGGCTAGACTGAGGATGGCCCGGTGGTATGATGCACATGCCCTGGCACCGCCTGAAATTAAGCCCGGAGATGAAGTTATGCTAGACCGGCGCAATGTGCAAACTGAGCGACCATTGGGAAAATTGGATCAAAAGAAGATGGGACCCTTCAAGGTCTTAGAAGCTATTGGTACCCGTGCCTACAAGCTCTCTCTTCCCCCTCAAATGGGAATCCACCCTGTCTTCCATGTCTCTCTCCTGGAACCCTACAGATCGCCATTAGACCCTGAGAGAAGAGTTCCTCCACCGGAACCTGAGGAAATTGCAGGATAACAGAACTGGATCGTCCGGGAAGTAGCCGATAGCCGAGTCAATAAGAAGAAGAGAAGGGAGGAATACTTGGTGTTATGGGAAGGTTATGAGAATGAGGATGCTACATGGGAACCCTGGGAGCATCTCAGAAAGAGTGCTGAAGAAGCCCTCCGAGATTTCCATATGAGGTATCCCAAGAAGCCCAGAGACAAGAGGGCTCAAGGCCAGTAGCATCTCCTTTAGATTCTCGTCCCCTTCCACACCAAAGGAGTTTCTTTGTCACATAGTATAGCAATAGATACAGATTATAGATCTCGGAGACCAAGATCCTGGAAGAGGGGAGTAGTGTAACGGAGCCATTTCAACTGTCTGGTGTATGAGTACACACAGGGCCCGGTTACATGCTGAGAGTTATTGTTAGAAGCCAGTTGCACAGTGACATGCAAGTACCGGCAGTGTGGTTAGCTACCAACTGTCAGAGTAACTACATTCTGAGCGCTAGGAAGAGGATCTACTCATGGGAGCAATGACTGACGAGTCTGTGCCTCGCCAATGATTAGAAGGCTAGCCAGAGTGAAGCTCTGAGTGCTCAGCGATCCTCCACATCCTCTGAGCATTGGAAGTCCGCCAGCAGTGGAAGAGACTATGCCTGGGAAGTCTACAATAAGCGGAAGCTCTACAGCAATGATTAAGCTTACACCTGAGCGGCAGCTCATTCATGCAGGCCCCTAGTTGTGTGGCAACAAAGGCTGCAGGTGTTACAAAGGCTTTGACTAAGGGTGGTTGCCTTCGGAATCGGAAGCACTCGCTGACGCTTAGAGAGAAGCGGGGTAGCCATGGTATTGCTTCCCTTCCACGAAGAGGCAGCACCGGAACTTAGTAAGGAAGTAGGAGCAGAGAATAGAATCCTTTGGAGTATAAGTACTCAGGATCATTCCCGCCCAACTGACCTGATCCTCATCTTCGAGTAGACCATTATCGGTAGCAGAGCCCTTAAAGATTATTGAGTTCTAGCGATAGTATCTTTGAATAAATCTGCACCTGATTTCTATCTTGCACGGCCGCATCTATTCTATTGGATTCTAGCGATACATAGATAGGCTGCCCCCGTTACACAAGGAATACAACCAAGGCGAGAACGTGGCAATAGGTATTCAAGACTGTGGGCTATGGAGTGGCTCTACCTAGTATGACAAACTAGTTGAACCCTATGATGAGGCATAGAACAAAAGTAGTATTCGTGGATTAGGTACACGAAGTTGCGTGAGGAGAAGAGGAAAGGAAGGAAAACATGAAAAGGCACGGGACAACGCCCCCTTATATATCCAACTCCTAGTCCATTGATGACTAATACCCCGCGTAACGGAAACTGAAAGTACATAACAGAAAGCCCATTACAAATCAGAGTTCAACCGCGCAATATCTCTTCTTCACAATCCAATCTATCATCTTAGCCGAAATACAATATTGCCGTTACAGATCACGCCCCCCTCTAAGGCCTACCTCCTGGTAGGCTTAGGTTTCCGTGGATAGCGTTCATGGAACCGTCGAACAATATCAGGTGAATGCTCAAGGTCCGATAGCGGTTGCCAAGAGGCATCATCGTATCCAGTATATCATACCAGATACTCAAAGCCACCCTTTCGTTTCCTAGAGTCCACAATATCCTCGACTTCCCATTCTTCCTCTCCTTCGATCTCAACCGGAGGTGGTGGTGACTGTTGTTGTCCAGGTAATGGGTTACCCACTTCAGGTGACAACAATGAAACGTGGAATACTGGATGGATCTTCATGGAGCGGGGAAGTTCTAGCTCATAAGCATAGGGGTTGACGATTCGTTTGATGCTATAAGGACCAATCCGTTTCCAATCAAACTTCTTGGAGGGTCGCCTTGTTAGAACATGACGGGTCGACAAGAATACTTTATCTCCTATATGATAACGAGGGGCAGGAGAACGATTTAGGTTAGCCGACTCCTCTTGTATTCTTTGTGACCGAAACATTTCGCTCTTCAGAAACTCCACCATGTCCTTCATCTCTTTTGCGATGCTGTTGGCCTGATCTTCCACCGTCGTCCTACCATGTTCCAAGGGGCCAAAAGTCATTCTTGGATATCTTCCCGAATTGGCATAGAAGGGAGAGACTCTTGTTGTTTCCGAAACATGATTATTTGTTGCAAACTCGGCCATTGCTAATAGCCGGACCCAATCGTCTTGCTGATAAGAGACATAACTTCGAAGATACTGTTCCATTACGGCATTGATCCTTTCGGTTTGTCCATCGGTCTGAGGATGAAAGGTGGTGGAGAATCGTGGGGCTATTTCCAGGCGTTTGCAAAGTGATTTCCAAAATTCCGCAACGAATTGTGTTCCTCTATCGGACACGACAGTGTCAGGTAGCCTATGTAGATTCCACACATTATCGATATACAACATCGCTACCTTCCTCGAATCCACCTCTTTAGTCGTTGGTATCAGATGTCGCATTTTGGTTAATCTATCAACAACAACTAGGATCGCATTATATCCCTCACTCTAAGGGAGGTCAGTGACAAAATCCATCGAAACATCCGTCCATGGTCCATCAGGTATTGGCATTGGGCGAAGTACTCCATAAAGTGAATTGCGCGGTGCCTTGCTACGGACACATACATTGCAATTCCTAACATACCGATCGACATACTTCCGCATTTGTGGCCAATAATATTCCCGGCTTAGGAGTTCCAAAGTTTTCGCTCTACCCGTGTAACGGGGGTGCTAGGATGATACACGACCGTGACTTCGATCTGACATAGAAAGGGTAAACGGGCAACGATGGATTCATTGGGCTCGTTCGATCGAAAGATGGAGTTTATTTGTTTGATCGTATTTGTAGTCTAAAAACTTAATAACTTTAAGGGGTCTCCTCGCTAGTAAAGATTCCATGACTCCCCGAGTTCAAACTGGGGGCAACCGAGTACTTTTATCGAAGTTCCGCCCCTTTTTTCCCGCTTTTTCTCCCTAGACCGTTTGTTTTTTTCCCCTAGTCCGGGGACACCGCGACTTTTTCTATGAGGGGCGAGAGGAGTTGCTGCCACACCTCGGACGAACTTCCGCCCGAGTCAAATCAAGCAATCTCTGCCAAGAGCTGGTCGGGATCCTAAGAACTAGCGGAAACAACCGACCAGATAGCAATTGCTTATTCAATTTGTTTTAGAACAGATTTGGTGTTTTTGTAAAGCGAGGTTTGCTTTTAGTAGCTTGGGTCGTACTCCTACTCCCCCTCAAAGGTGCTCCGGGCTGAAACAGGAGGGTTCCGGCGGTTCGACGCTCCGGGGGTTATTTTTGGGGTCTAAAACGTGTTTATTTTGCAGTGTTTCCTCAACTCCGCAATCCGTTCATTCAACTACCCCAAATGGACCGGAGCATCGTCAGGATCCTTTCTGACGTGGTAAAGCATATTTTCCGAGCATCGGTTGCTAAGTTATTGCACCTCAAAGGTTGACTTCCAAGGTAGGGTAACTTATGTTTGGGGTTACCCTTCCGTATTCGGCATGCTCGTCCTTCTGCTCTAGTTTTGGTCCAGTCGCCTAGCTTGACTTATAAGACTTCTTGCTCGCCAGGATCCCTACCCTTCATACCAACAGAGGTAGGGGTCATCTGCCCTTATCTTCACCCATCGATGAAGAACAAGCGGTGATTACCCTAGGGTCGTATTGCTTGACTGGTAGAACAGGTACTTTTGTAACAGCCCTACTGTGGCTCTGTTACAACCCGGATGACCTGCTGATACTTTATCGTGATGTTCTTGTAGGAGCCTCAGCCGGAGGTCATTATCATTGGGTACATAGAGTGCGCCTCGATAAAGTAGCCGACCGTTGTTGTCTTCCGTACATTCGGCGAGTGAAATTTTATTAGAATGATGAACGTCACTCCGAAGCATAGCGTGGATTTCGTTTGGAAAACTATCAACTTGGTAAGCTTTTGAAAATAACTCCTCCACAGTGGACATTCCTTCAGCGGATTCATTTGATAAAGAACCCGCGAACAAACTTAGCTTTGCGTCCAAATTCTTTCTTTTCAGAACCACTTGGCTCTGATGCATCAACCGTTCATCCCCCTCTTTAGGTAGGTCACCTGACCTTCTAGTTAGTGCATCCGGTTTTGCTCCTTGTTTCCCCGGTCGAAATTGTATAACGAAATCGAAACGTAAAAGAAATTCAGACCAACGAGCTTGCCGACAATTTAACAGTTTTGTCGTCATAAAATATTCCAGGTTCCGGTGATCGCTGAGAACTTCAATAGGGAATTGTGCTCCTTCTAGATGATGTCACCACTCTTCGAAACATCGTACGATTGCTAGAAGTTCTTTATCATAGATCTCATAGTTACATTCCGCAGGGGAATGTTTCTTAGAAAAAAAAGCTACCGGATGTAAAACTCCTTCATCATCACGTTGTGATAGAATCCCTGCCGAAACATAGTCGGATGCATCGGTTTCCACTATAATCTTTCGATTCGGATCGAAATGGACTAGTATAGGTGCCGTTGTAAACATCTTCTTCAAGGTTTGAAATGCTTCCTCCGTTTCATCCGTCCATTCGAATTTAACATTTTTCTTCGTTAGAGCTGTAAGCGGGGCGACAATCTTTGAATATCCTAAAATAAACCGTCGATAAAAATTTGCAAACCCCAAAAATACTTGAACATCATGAAGATTTGTCGGTGTAGACCATTCTAGAATATCAATAACTTTCTTTGGATCCATTCTATTGCCATTTGGGGTGAGGATTAGGCCGAGATATTTCGTTTCTTGAACCATAAATTCACATTTTTCGGGTTTGAGGTGGACATGATTCTCATCAAGTATCCTTAAAATCTTTTGAATATGGTCCTTGTGCTCTGTAAGGGATTCGGAATAGATGAGAATGTCGTCTAAATAGGCCGTCACAAATTGATCGAGATAGGGGCGCAGGATGTCATTGATCCAGTGTTGAAATGTAGCCGGAGCATTCGCTAATCCAAAAGGCATTACCGTATATTCAAAGTGTCCATATCGAGTCCGGAATGCTGTTTTCCATTCATCCCCCTGCGCTATCCTGATTTGATTGTATCCCCAACGTAAATCCAGTTTAGTATAATGTTTTGCTTTCGACAATTTGGTCAAGGTTTCCTTCAATAACGGTAATGGGTATCGGTTCTTAATCATGATTGCATTGAGGCCCCGATAGTCGACACATAAACGAAGAGTTCCATCAGCTTTCTTGACAAATAGGATAGGTGCCCCCGCTGGTGATTCACTATGACGGATAATTCCCTTAGGTAGGTTCTCTTGAAGGTAGTCCCAAAGTGCCTTCAACTCTGTTTGGGATAAAGCATATATTGGTCCCCATGGTGGTTGTTTGCTTTCTTCTAATACTATCTTCATATCATGGAACGGTCGATGTGGCGGAAGCGCTGAAGCATCATATTCTTCAAACATGTGGATATAGCGGTGGAACTCCTTCGCTATTAGTTGTTTAACATCGATAGTAGGTCTTTCGGTCGCTGAGACGGTAACGGTATGAGTTTCAGGTAGGGGAATTGATATACCATGAACCGTAATTGCAGTTCCACTAAGCGAGCAATGTTGACAGCAGCTTTGAGAGTCGAAGATAAGCAAATTTTCATTTGGTCGAATCGTAACATCATGGCGTCGCATCCAAGGTATCCCCATCACAATCGGATAGTGTCCCAACTTTGTTACAAAACATGACGCAGTCTCTCGATGGCCATGAATGTCTAGCGAGACATCAACAATATGAGTAATTTTCCCTGACTTGATAGGTCTGCCGTCTATAACGTCCACATGCCGGGGCATTTTGAGTGGGGTCATGGTGAGATTGTTGTGGCGTGCAAAAGATTCATCGATGAAAGCATATCCCGAGGCTCCGGTATCAATAAGGGCGTAGGTGGGTACGAAAGTATTTTTATTCTGTGAAATTGAACAAGTTACTGTAACGGGGACAGTCTTTCCACGTATCGCTAGAATCCGATAGAAAGATGTGGCCGTGCAAGATAGAAATCAGGTGCAGATTTATTCAAAGATACTATCGCTTAGAACTCAATAATCTTTAAGGGCTCTGCTACCGATAAAATGGTCTACTCGAAGATGAGGATCAGGTCAGTTGGGCGGGAATGATCCTGAGTACTTATACTCCAAAGGATTCTATTCTCTGCTCCTACTTCCTTACTAAGTTCCGGTGCTGCCTCTTCGTGGAAGGGAAGCAATACCATGGCTACCCCGCTTCTCTCTAAGCGTCAGCGAGTGCTTCCGATTCCGAAGGCAACCACCCTTAGTCAAAGCCTTTGTAACACCTGCAGCCTTTGTTGCCACACAACTAGGGGCCTGCATGAATGAGCTGCCGCTCAGGTGTAAGCTTAATCATTGCTGTAGAGCTTCCGCTTATTGTAGACTTCCCAGGCATAGTCTCTTCCACTACTGGCGGACTTCCAATGCTTAGAGGATGTGGAGGATCGCTGAGCACTCAGAGCTTCACTCTGGCTAGCCTTCTAATCATTGGCGAGGCGCAGACTCGTCAGTCATTGCTCCCATGAGTAGATCCTCTTCCTAGCGCTCAGATGTAGTTACTCTGACAGTTGGTAGCTAACCACACTGCCGGTACTTGCATGTCACTGTGCAACTGGCTTCTAACAATAACTCTCAGCATGTAACCGGGCCCTGTGTGTACTCATACACCAGACAGTTGAAATGGCTCCGTTACACTACTCCCCTCTTCCAGGATCTTGGTCTCCGAGATCTATAATCTGTATCTATTTATCTATGCAATACTATATGACAAGAAAACTCCTTTGGTGTGGAAGGGGACGAGAATGTTAAAGGAAATGCTACTGGCCTAGAGCCCTCTTATCTCTGGGCTTCTTAGGGTACCTCATATGGAAATCCCAGAGGGCTTCTTCAGCACTCTTCCTGAAATGTTCCCAGGGTTCCCATGTAGCGTCCTCATTCTCATATCCTTCCCACAGCACCAGGTATTCCACCCTTCTCCTCTTCTTATTGACTCGGCTATCAGCTACTTCCCGGACGATCCAGTTTTGTTCTCCTGTAATCTCCTCAGGTTCCGGTGGGGGAACTCTTCTCTCAGGATCTATTGGTGCTCTATAGGGTTCTAGGAGAGAGACATGGAAGACAGGGTGGATTCCCATTTGCGGGGGAAGAGAGAGCTTGTAGGCACGGGTACCAATAGCTTCTAAGACCTTGAAGGGTCCCATCTTCTTCTGATCCAATTTTCCCAATGGCCGCTTTGTTTGCACATTGCGCCGGTCTAACATAACTTCATCTCCAGGCTTGATTTCAGGGGGTGCCAGGGCATGTGCATCATACCACCGGGCCATCCTTAGTCTAGCCTTTCCCAAGCTTGCGTTCATAGCCTGCCAGATAGATTCCCATTGAGATACCATGACCTCGCTTGCTGGATTATTCCATTCAACACCTTCTTTTGGGGCCG